CAAGGCAACTCATCAGCTTATAGTAAATTTTATACAGAACACTAAAATAGGAAGCACTCTGATTCTCATTTCAGACTGCAGTACGCATCCCTGTCAGATAGTTGTGGTAGCTGAATAGCTTGGCATGGCTTCGTAGAAGGCAATTCGGATGACCGAGTCCAGTGTTTTTAATATATTGGCAAAAAATGCTTCAGAGCTTTTTGCCTCAGGGTACATGTGTTTGTCAGAGAAAGAGAGGCACAGACAACGAGGGAAAGTGAGAAATCAGCCCCAGGGAAGGTGGACATGCCCCCATCCTTTCTCCTCCATCGACCTCCTGGGACCTTGGGCACACATGCACATGCACCGGCCTGGTTTTGAAGCTGCCCGGGTCTAGGACTTGAATTGCTGTTGGCCATGTGGGAGTCCAGCGTTGTAACCACGGAGCCATCTGCTGGCCCCGAAATAGATTTCCTCCCAGGATTTCCAAAACTCAAAGTTGAGGTTAAAGAATAGAACTTAAAATTCATATAAGAGTCTGTGACCGAAGATCAGTTCTTTGCTAAATATCCTTATTCTTGTCTATCTGTTTATTTACTTAACATTGTATCGCCCTAATAAAGTGCAAGCTAAGTGGAAGAAAGGACTTTTTCTATCTTTTCTCCAGCCATACAAAGCAGACAAGTCTTTCTGTGCACTTGCCTTTTATTTTTCTACTTCTAGTGCTTTTGCCTAGTATATAGCACGTTTCACACTTTTTTGATTGTTTGTTTTTTAATATCATCTTTTAAAATTTTTATTTAAATTTATTTATTTACATTCATTCACTGATGATGCTTAGAGAATTAATTAAGTTAAGAAAAAGTTTCAGAAAAAAAACTAAACATTTTTCTTGAAATTAAAAATAAATGCATTAAAAACACCTATTTGATGGCTGCAGTGAGCTATACAACCGCAGATCAGTGCTACTTCATAGGATGTCCATTCTACTCACTGAGGTTTATGCCCACAGTCAGACTTGTGTTCATGGATATGTGTATATCAGCATATCTGCTGCGCTTGCTATTCAAAATATTTAGATTAATTAAGATCTTTAGTGAATCACACTTAACATTTTTCTGATAAATAAATCTGCTAATGATTGTTGTGAT